AGAATCATGGGATATTAGAATTATCCATAAAGTGGGTCATTTCATCGCCAATAATTTTATATTTACAATTAATTGGTAGGCATAAACCAGAGGGCAGCTTGGTGGGCAATTGCCTGGTAAACATGGGTTCGTACAACTTAATACCTGAATTTTAGTTGCCTGAGATGTAACAAATACATAGAAATCTCACATCCCTTTCCAAAGGTGTTGGGTGTCCAACAAGTCACATTGAGTATTTGGATTTATTTTAGGGGAGTCCTGTAATATAGGTTTAACATTATAGAATTACTAAAAGAAGCAGCCCTGAAGTTCCAATTCTTCAGTTCCCAAATGGATCTAGGAAGCTCATACACTTCACGTAGCCGTTTGAATATGCAGCAACCTGTTAAAAGGAAGTCAAACAAAACACCATATGCAAAATATTGCCATCATCAAAATGAAAATTTACAAATTCTTTTCATACTGTGTTGCCATAGAAGCACTACAACTAAAAAGGATAGTGAATAGAAAACTTTTGAGAAATTATGCCTTTAAAAAGGCTACTGAAGAGAGAGAGAGAACATATAGAAGCTTGAAACCCCAAAAGCCATTAGAGCCAAAAAGGGGCTTCGGGAAACTTTTTTTTTTTTGATCAATGGCTTGGAAACTCTTTTTACTACAAATTAATACCAAAATTAACCTATTTCATTGACAGGGCTAGCAAACTTGAATTCCCCATAGAGTTCTAAGAAATTAAGATGAAGAAAAAAACTGAGGTGATACCATATGCAATACCTACCACTTCCAACTTGTGATGAGGCTCCAAACTGCAATTCTAGCACTTGATTTTGAACTTGTCTCAAAAGCCTTTGCAAAGCTCCAATTGAAGTGGTTTTGTATCTAAGAATGACAAAACAATGTTCAAAAATTAACATGAGGCTTTGTTCACGAGGTCACAAATGGGGAGGCTCTCTAAGGATACTAAGGCTAGGTTTGGAGTTCCCCCTAAAAAGTCAAAAATTAATATCTTTATTTAAATCACATCATCTTATTTAAAGTCCCATCACCTCTCTACACATCACTTCAAACTCAAATACCCATATTTCATAAAAGTCAGAAAATACACTTATTTAGAACATCTCAAATAACCCTTAGAATAATGATTTTTCCTGATTATTAGACTATGGAAAATGGTACACACAAGAATTTTTAAAACAGAAGAAAAACTCCTTCCACAATGATGAGGTTGTGGTATTTTTTAATTCATGACCACAAAGATGGGTGTTTTGGCTTAAAATGAAAAGATTACAAAAAAAAGAATATAAAAATCTATCAGAGAAAAGAGTAAAGAGAACAAACAATGAACAAACCAAAATGAAACCCAGAGCAAAGAGTTACCTACAAAGTTGTTCCTAAGATGAACATATTAAATGCAAATAAAAAAGAATTGGCCAATGTATAACACTGCCTAATTTTAGACTATGATATTGGGTGTAAATAACATAGAAAATGCATTAGAAAATTCATTGGATACCTTCAGCAACCTCCTCCCACAATGACAAAGTTCCATCTGCACAAATGCATGCAACTCCCCCACCATATTCTGGAGGAACCCAAACAACTTTCACAATGCTCACTTCATGAACCTATGAGAAGCCCAATGTCAAAAATGCATATAAATTAATAAAAAATCAAGAAAATGATGACCAAAAAAAAAAAGGAACAAGAAGAAGAAAGGAAACATATATGAAACTTTGAGAAGTTTGAATCTCAATGAAAATTCTGCTGCCACATCATCATGTTTAAAAAATCCAATTACCAAAATGTAATTGTAATCTATAACCATGAATGACAAAAAGATGATAATTGTGTGAGAGAATACAGGAAAAACATGAGATAATCAGGGCAAGAACTGTAATCAATACATGCAAATTTAACTTCATACTCAATGAGCAATGATGCACCACTGACTAGACTAGTCTTCCCTTGAGCCACTTTCCTTGTCACATACTCATAATTTTAGAAGCAACTTTCAGTAACATTTCAAACTTTTGAAATATCACATTTCTATCATGCAATTTGGAATATTTATAAAATAGTTTTGTGTTTTGGCCCCTTCAAAATTTAATATAATTTTACTCCAGCCCCTCCAAAATCTAAATAATTTTATCTTTGCTGCCCAAAATTTTGAAAATTTTCATTATTTTTATGCAAATTTCAGAAATTATAAAAATGAATTAGTGTTTTGGCCACCCCAAGCCTTTGAAAAATCTCATCACTTTCATGTAATTTTGAGTATATATAAAATAAATTAGTATCTTGGTCCCCGAAATCTATATAATTTTACTTCAATTTCTCTAAAATATAGATAATTTTGTTTTAACCCCCCCCTTTGCACAATTTCTGGGTCCGCCATAGAGTTCATGTAAAATGATTTAACAGTGTATAATGCAATAAATGACAACATGCTCTTCCCTATCTGATCTTTATCGCCTTTGTTTATAAACAATCCTCAACATTATCACCATTATTACCCATTCTCAAATTCGAAATGCCATATAAAAACCCTATGGAATCCAATTATCCAAACTTCGAATTCAATTCAGACTAAGGTCATGTTCGATTCACTTCACTATTAGTGAAGTATTAATAATCCTATCAAATTAGTGTGGTGTTAACTATCCCACCCCTACCCATTACTAATAATCCTACAAATTTGTTGGATTAATTATCCATTGGATTAATAATCCTAAACCAAAGTGTCAAAACAAACATAGGATGATTGGGCCTACAGATTAATAATCCCAATCCCATGCTTTAATCCTTCCAATCAAACATACCTAAAAGGATTGCAGATAATTATCCAATCAAAACCCATATATACACACACACAAATTGCAAATTTTAACAAAGAACGAAGCTTACGAAATACGAACCCTGGATGTAGAAGTGCACGTGAATGACGAAGAAGGCGGGTCGACTGAGTCGAAAATGACCAAAGTTCCATCGATGGAACCAGTAGCCAATCTCTCGTCACAGTAGTTCCATGAAGAAAAGGTCGTGCCTTTGTCAAAGGTCACCACAGACTTCTCCATCTCTCTCTAAATTTCGATTTCTTCTTCAGTGATCGGAGAAGAAAACTATTTCAATGTTTCGACATTGATGGAAAGCCCCAAAAGGTTTTTGTCAGAACGTTCATTTTCGCTGCATGTGCGAATTTTATAAAAATTGCGAAGATGCGTGAGGGTTCTAGGTAAGGGTAAACTTCACTTCTCCCCCTCTCTGGTTCAACCCACGTGCGGATTATCCCTCACTTTTAAATATAATTACATAATTTTTCTATATAACCACATAATTTTTCTGTGGTTAATGGAGTAATGTACACCATTAACACAGTGAATGACATACGTATGGAGTAATGTACACCATTAATACAGTGAATTTTTCTGTGGTTAATGGAGTAATGTATATATATATATCAAAGCTTGCTTACTAGTTTCACTTCCAAAAGTCGTGCATCTGAAAAGAGGAAAGTGAAAAGAACTAGGGTTATTCGATTGAACAATTTAACAAATTAGGGTTGTTCGATTGAACGGATTAGGGTTTTAATCGAACGAAATAGTGTATAAATTTGAGAAAGTTGGGCTTCGATTGTTCGATTGTCATTGATTTGGAGATTTATGAAGCAAACGAAGCCAAAAGTTCACAAAGAATAAGTTGTAGGATATTTTTTCGATCATTGCTTTTTATTTTGTGTTTCATTCAGTTTGATTTGCTAATATATATATATATATATATATATGTATGTATATAAAATGTTAGTTGATATACTTTTTGTTACTGTATACTGTGGTTCTGTATGTTTTGTATATTAGGGTTTGCGTGCCTCCCTTTTTCGTACCATTGGTGGTTAACTTTTTGTCATGACACTGTGTGCGATGCAGCTGTTCATATCCTGTTGCTATGGTGGTTTTTTGTATATATAAAGTTCATATACTGTAGTCCCTTATGATTGTTTGTTTATTTGTAGTGAATGATGTGAGTGTATTACTTTGTTTGTTTATTGTCATTGTGTTTTGTGTGGGGTATGCACTGAAAAGATGAAATTTATCCCTAATCCTTAGTGTATTACTTTGCTTGTTTCCTTCTTCAATTAACTTTTAACTTTATGCCGGAAGAATAGGTTTTTTTAATTCTATTACTTTACACTTTTATATTCTGTTTCTATTTTGTGTGATCTATTTGAGGATTAAGGATTATTTATTATTTTAGTTTATGTTGGTTACATGCATAACTATATCTTTGTTTAGGGTTGTGGGTTGTGGGTTGTGGTCCCAAAATGTATTGATGAAAGTCTTTTCTACTTTAGGAATGAATGCTGAAAATGTCAGACAAATTCATAACTATTCAAATGCACCATGGGGGCCATTTTGTCTTTCATCCACATGTTGTTTATGAGGGTGGTAGGGTGAATGAAATAATTAATTGTGACCTTGACAAAATGTCTATGTTTGAGTTAAGAGACCTTTATTATGACCTAGTTGGTGGAAAATGAGCAAACATAGATAGTACTATACATGGCCTAGTTATAGTTTAGATGTTGGGTTGAAAGCAAAGTACATTGATGCTAATGTGATGAAAATGCTTGAGGCTTATAAGGGTTTGGATTATGTAGTTGTTTATGTAGATAAGGGTGTAGATCCTATTATGGTTTTGTCGTCCAATGGTGAGTTGTTGTCAGATTCCAATGGTGCAGAACAGGGTGGTAATGCCATAGGTGGTGATGACACAGAACAGGGTGGTAATGCCATATGTGGTACTGACATAGACATTATTGATATAAACTTGTCTGATATTCACATCATAGTTGATGACATTGGGAATGACTCAGATGATATTACAGGGGTAGTTGAGGGTGAGGATGTGGGTAAGGGATGTGAGGGTAGTGATACACAACATAAGGGTAGTGATACACAACATGAGGATGGGTTGCAGCCAGTGGCGGAGGCACCTTAAGCCCAAGGGGGTCACGTGCCTCCCCTGGGTTTTGGGAATTTTTTTTTTAAACATAAAGAAAATATTTTAAATAAAAGAATTTATAAAAATATTATTTAAAATGAAATGTCAATGACATTTTAAAATTATGAGAATAATAATGATTTTTTTGATTGAAAATAAAGAGATTATGCACTACAACAAAAAACATTTTTGGCGACGCTTTTTAGCAACCAAACAAAAATTTAGTTGCCAAAGATACATCATTGGCGACAGAATAGTTGTGGTCACTAAAAACTAAACTTTTGGCGACGAATTTAAAATTTTGGTCACTATTGAGTTTGGCGCCAAGTTATTTTTTAACTTTTGGCGACGAATTTAAAATTTTGGTCACTATTGAGTTTGGCGCCAAGTGATTTTTTTGGGCGGGAGCGCTAAAAATAATTTGGCGACCAAATTAATTTTTAGCGACAAAAATTTTAGTCGCCAATTATATGTATTTGGTGACAAGCATAATTTGGTTGCCAAAAATTTAAATAATATTTATGGCAACCAAATTTATTTGGTTGCCAATAAATTATTTGTTTTTACCCTAATTTTTTATTGCCAAAAATAATTGACTGAGTGAATAAACAAACAATTGACCATCACTTTCCTTCTCACTTTCTCACTCCATCTGAAACGGCACACACAAGTCGATCCAGGTAATGTCTTCTTCTCTTCTTCTTCTTCTTCTTCTTCTTCTCTTCTTCTTCTTCTCTCTCCCTCCCCCTCTTGCTCTGCTGCATCGCCGAATGTGAAAGGCACCGGAGCGCTGTTGACAGCAGCGCTGTACGGCGGTAGATCACATCCTCTTTTTGGGTCGATCCCCTCTTCTCTTCTCTATCTCTGATATGTTGAATGTAGTCCCTCTCCCTCTTGCTTTCTCGAGCTGTCGGATGCCAATGGCACAGCACCGTTGGGCGGCAGATCGATGTCCTCTTCTTTGGGTCGATGCCCTCTTCTTTCCTCTGGGCCAAATGATATTCTGAATGTATTTTCTTAAACCAATTTTTAAAGTTGCAGAGGTGAAATAAACTAATTTTTATTTTATTTTTGATATGTACTATATCTGTTGTGTGACCTACATGAACTATATGTCTAGTAGTGACTCCAAATCAGTAGACCTTCTGCTATAATTGCATGTGTGATTACCTTCATTCTGTTTTATGTTGTAAATAGTTGATCTGTTAATGTAGATTACCTCCTCCCTCTTAAGAAATCCAAATATGCGAGAGATAGTTAATGCACCATGATTAGATTTTGTCAAAATATGCGTCAAACTTAATTATATCCATTTGTTGATGTATGTCAACAGCTTGAGGTTCATGGTTAGTCATCTTAGGTATCTTAGAGAATGGAACACTTTGTGAAGAGATTTGAAAGCTTTTTTTATGCTAAGAGGTCAACATTTTGTCTTCCGCAGACAGTGGTATGGAAATACTTTAGTCACTTACTTTTAAAAAAAAATGCTAAGATCTTGTGCAATATGTAAAATTTTTATAAGCATTTTTTTTGAGTTATTAGAGAAAAACATGCAATGGATCTTTATTGACACTAGCAGTAGATCTTTGTAGTTATGGTTTCCTTTTCTTTTTGAATTTTCCCTCTTGACATATATTGGCAGTAAAATGGTAGTTTATTGGTGCGTCATGGTTGGCTATTCATTGACCTGACAATCTGTAAATCTATACAGTTTGAGTATGTGGTTGGTGTTGGTGTTGTTGTTGGTGTTGGGTTGTGATTTATAATGAACACTTTGAACAGGTGACCTCTTTTTGATGGCATTGGTTGTTTGTGGAGAATACAGGTTATTTATGGTTTTTTCTTTAGGGATCTGTGTCTGTGATTTTAACACTCCATTAGGATTCTAGTGAAGCTAAGAGTATTTCCTGGTATTGTACTGGAAGGGATATCATGTTGGATGTCTACCATATTCAATGGGCAACATGACTTGTTTTCTGCCTTGGAGTGTACCTTCTCATTTTGCATAACTTGGGTGATTGGAAGGCTAGTTACTTGCCAAGAATAGACATTTTTTTTTCTTTTTTCTTTTTGGGATGTTGAGGATGTTTGGATCATTACATTGGGTTGTCCTTGTAACTTGAATATGCATCTGCTTGTTGATTATATTTTCTGATTGGATCTTATTCTTCTTTCTTTCTTAACACTCCTATTAACACAAAAGGGGTATTTGGGGTTAATAATGTATAATGGTCAAAATTTTAGGATGTTTGTAGTATTTTTTTTTAATATGCTTGTGAAATTTGACCTTTAAAAAATAAATTTATTAAGTCTTTGTCAGTAGACATAACCGAACTTTCTTCGGCAGGGCAACCCAGGTGCCATTTACTCACAACTGGCTAGAGTGTCTTTGTTAGTGCCAAGAAATTAGTTGTTGGTGATGCTTTTATTTTTCTGAGGCAAGTTTTGTCATATTTGATGCTTTTGTGATTTTGTGCTCTCAATTTTATCTTATTTATTTTTGTCTTTTCATGGTTATATATGTATATGTGTAGTCATAGATGTGGTTTTTTAAGATCTCTTTCAATACCATCCTCTTGAATTTCCATTGGACCTCTCGGGCTTAAATCTTTTTCAGTAACTTCCTCTCTACTAATTTTATGGAAGATGATTTGATAGTGGAGAGGCTGACATAATATGCTTGTTTTTGTTTCATGGGGTAATTCAACTCAAACGACTTTTTATTTAACTTTACATACAGTAAGTATTTGAATTGGATATGTACTGTATGTCAGTCTAGTTTTTTGTATGTTGTTTGGTTCCTTTCTGAGCTTGTGGTGTATTTTGTTCTGTTTTTGGTTCTCTATCTCAATGTCTCAAACACTTCTTTCGCTCTCTTCCTCTTATGTGTTTTCATTTCACCAATGAATTCAAGATTAACCCAAAGCTTTTCCAGTCCAAGAACAGCCAGTCATGGTTCAACTCCAGTTTGTATACATTTGATTAATAAAGAAAGGGATCTTGATTCAACTCCAACATTGTGCTTTGTTCCTCTTTTTCTTCTTTATTCTTTCTTCTTTCATGTCTATTGATGTAATCTCATATGAAATGTATGTTTTTTTCATCAATAAAGATTTTTTTGCTGATCAAAAAAAGATTCCATTTTTGATGGAAGGGATTGAAAATGTCCTCCATTAAAAATTTTCTTGATTGATAAAAATCAGTATAATATATATATTTAGAAAAGTATTCATATATATATTTGTGTGTGTGTGTGTGTGTGTGGTGATGGTGGTGGCTTGAAC